TGCCGAACGGCAGCCTCCTCGAAAGGCGAAGGGAGCTTGGGTGCCCACCGACTGGAACGCTAAGTTCAAGGCCGCCCTCGGCGGCTACAAGAAGTTCTGCAGCAGCCAGACCGGTGTTCTCCAGGCACCCCCGAGAAGCATTGCCTCATCCTCCTGCTCCTGGTCCTCCTGCTCTTCCTGCTGCTGCTCCTGCTCTTCCTCCTTCTCCTCCTCCTCCCCCTCCTCCTGCTCCTCGTCCTCCTCCTCCTCCTCCTCATCTCTACTTCTTCTCTCTTTTCCTTCCTCAACCTTCTTCCCCTCCTCCGTCCTCCTTATCATCTCTCGTCCTCCTCCCCTTCCCTCCTACACCTTCTTCCACTCCACCTCCGTCCTCCTTCCTTCCTCCTCCTTTCTTCTCATCCTTCTCTTCCTGCTTCTCCCCGTTTCTTCTCTTCACGGTTACTGATCCCCGTATGTATAAGTTCAAATGCTTGTCGGCCCTCAGCATCATCATCACCATCATCACCACCACCACCACCATCATCATCAGCATCATCATCACCATCGTCATCATAATCAGCATCATCATCGTCATCAGCATCATCATCATCATCATCATTATCATCATCATTATCACTATCATCATCATACTCATCATCATCATCATCATCATCATCATCATCATCATCATCATGATCATCATCATCATCATCATCATCATCCTGATCACGATCATCATCATCAGCACCAACAGCACCATCCTCAACATCATCATCATCATCATCATCATCATCATCGTCATCATCATCATCATCATTCTCCGCCTAGTCCTCCTCCCTGTTCTCGTTCCCAGCATGGCGATGCTACCGTTGCCCGTGAGTGCATGCTTGATTGCGCACGTGCGCGCAAGCCCGCTTGCGCGCCTGTTTGCTTCGGTCCGCCCCAACGGCCGTTGGTCGATGCGGAGCTGCGGTGGCCGATGCGTTGCCGCCAAGGTTGACACCTAGCCGCAGTAATCGATACACCTGCCACATTTGGTCGGCGGTCGTTGTGCTGCCGCAGTGGTGGTGAATTCACTCCTGCAGTTTTGAGCTGTAGCTGCCGCAGTGGTCGATGGACAATGCTGAGAGCCAGTGGTCGGCGCATTGCTGCGATTCCGCCCGCGCAGCCCGTAGCCTCGCAGTGCGATCGTGACCTGCACCGCCAGCGAAAGGACACGCGAGCGCGTGCGTGCGCGTGCGTTCGCGCGCGCGTGTGTGCGTGTGTGTGCTTGTGTGTACGTGAAAAGTGTGTGTGTGTGTGTGTGTGTATGTGTGTGTATGTGTGCGTGCGTGCGTGCGTGCGTGTGTGTGTGTGTGTGTGTGGGTGTTCGTGTGTGTGTGTGCGTACGTGTGTGAGTGTGTGTGTGTGCGTGCGTGTGTGTGTGTGTGGGTGTGCGGGCGTGTGTGTGTAAATGTGTGTGTTTGTGTGTGTGTGTTTGTGCGTTTGTGTGTTTGTGTGTTTGTGTGTATGTGTGTTCGTGTGCTCGTGTGTTTGTGTATGTGTGTGGTTGTGTGTGGTTGTGTGTTTGTGTGTTTGTGTGTCTGTGTGTCTTATCTGTCTGTGTGTGTTTCTGTGGGTGTCTGTGTGTGTCTGTGTGTGTATGTGTGTGTGTGTGTGCCTGTGTGTGTCTGTGTGTGTCTTTGTGTGTGCCTGTGTGTGTCTGTGTGTGTCTGTGTGTGTGTCTGTGTGTGTGTGTCTGTGTGTGGTGTGTGTGTGTGTGCGCGTGGTGTCTTTGCAGACCAGGGCGACACCCGCGTGTCTTGCACCTTGAACGTAGGTTCTGTCTTGGCAGGCCAGAACCTCCGCGAGCCATCGGCCGGAACTGCTTTGGCATTCCAATCTCGGGAGCCTTGAGACGGGGGTCAATGCAAACGGGGGTCAGCCAGAGCGCCCGATTTTTCAGGATCCTGCAGGGTCATGGTCGCATTGACCTGGGCTTGGGTGCAGGATCCTGCAGGATCTTGCAGGATCCTTCGCATTGACCCCGGCTTGGGTGGAAGAGCTTGCAGGGTTCTGCAAGGCCCGACTTGCCTGGGCTTGGATTGACCCAGGTCCGAAGATCCCCAACAATCCACCCCAGATCCAGGAGACAGAACAGAAGGAGCAGGACGGAGGAGGAGGAGGAGGAGGAGGAGGAGGAGGAGGAGGAGGAGGAGGAGGAGGAGGGGGGGGACGGGGAGGAGGAGGAGGAGGAGGAGGAGGAGGAGGAGGAGGAGGAGGGAGGAGGAGGAAGGAGCAGGACCAGGGGAACATACGAGAAAAGGGCACCGACGACGCAGACACACATGCTGCTCACCTCTCGTGTCCGGCCCGCCCTCAGCACCTCCGCGTGCCAGCGCCTGGATGTGCCTCGAGATTCTATAACTCCAGTGCTCCCGAATCACCCCACAACGGCCGCCCGAGGCCCGAGCTGCCGCCTCGAAGAATACCGCCCCCGACGTGCACCCCCTGTTGATTTCTAAGTCGTTCGGAAGCTCCTTGTTTTTTTGGGGGGGGCAAGATCCTTTCATTTCTAAGTGTTCTACCCTGGGCCTCTTCCTGGCCACTCAGGGGCCAGGAACCATTAGTAACGAGCACACCTAGAATTGAGCGCGATTAGAAACGAAGGACGCGCACCCCTGGACAATCCCCAGTGGCACGTTTGAACCCCGGACCCTGCGTTCGAGGATCGTGGTTCGAGGCGGTTGTGCGAGCTTCTGGGGCTTCCCTCTGTGGAGGTGGCGTGGGACATTTGGGCAGGGTCCGCCGTTCAATTTGGATCCCGACGCATCTTCCAGGATCGGGTTCTAGACGCATCTGTGACTGAGCCTTCCGCTCGTTTGTTTCCACCCAGGGCCCACTTCCTCTTCCCCGCGGCACCCCTTCCAGCAGCTGCGCCACACCGACGCCGCTCCGGCGGTGCCCGAATCGGGCCCCCGAACGGCCGCCCAAGGCCCGAGCTGCCGCCTCGAACTGCCGACCCCGACGCACCCCTGGACAATCCGCAGTGCCACGTGTCACCCTGGGCCCTGCTGCCGAGGATCGTGGTTCGAGACGGTTCTCTGTGAGCTTCTGGGACTTGCCTCCGTGGAGGTGGCCTGGGACATTTAGGTCACCGTCGGGATCTCGGCGTAGGAAATTAGCCTGACGAGGGACCCAACCATATGCAGGTGTGAGTACCGCAATAGTGATTCACTTTTTCGGTGGCGATCCCTATGAGGCAACGAACCGTGCTAGGGTTGTGCCGACATGAGTGGCGTGGTACACAACGCGAACGAAAACGATTGGTCTGAATACGTAGGGAGACTGAGCGCGGGTGAATCTGGCGCGCGTGCATCTGACTGTGAACGACTGCGTGCGAGCGAGTCTACGTGCATGAGTGCGAATATGACAAAGCGTGGTGCAATTGTGTATGGATGTCAATAGTTTGACAATGACTGCCTCTGAGTACTCGTGACGCTGGGCGTGGCCGCCGCAAGGAGCTTCCCCGGGACTCCCCGACGGCATCGCCCGCGCGCCGCGACGCCAATGTCGGCGCGCCCCCCCGCGAGGATCGCGCCCGCTTCCTCCCCTTCCTTACTCCCTCTTTGCCCGCGCACTCAAAAGTCCAAGGCTGCGGGAGCAGCGCAGCGCGGAGCCCCCGCGACGCGCGCAGGTCACCCCGGAGGGGTCCCAGCGACGCGCGCGGGTCGCCCGCTGCGCGGAGCAAAGAGAGCTAGCTGGCTGGCTGGGACCTGCGGTGGGGCTCCATATGGGGCCACGTAACGCTGTACTGGGCAAGGGAGACGCATACGGACTGCGCCACGGGGACCTTCGGTGGAGTTCCCTATGGGGCCACGAAACGTGTGAGGGGTGTGCCGAAATGACTGGCGGGGACGCATGCGGACTGTGCCACTGGGACCTTCGGCGAAGCTCCTACGGGGCCACGAAGCGTGTTGGGGGTGTGCCGACATGAATGGCGGGACGCATGCGGACTGCGCCACGGGGGCCGTCGGTGGAGTTCCTAACGAAACGTGTGAGGGGTGTGCCGACATGAGCGGCGGGGACGCATGCGGACTGTGCCACTGGGACCTTCGGCGGAGCTCCTATGGGGCCACGAAGCGTGCGAGGGGTGTGCCGACATGAATGGCGGGAACGCATGCGGACTGTGCCACGGGGACCTTCGGTGGAGCTCCTATGGGGCCACGAAACGTGTGAAGGGTGTGCTGAAGTGAATGGCGGGGATGCATGCGGACTGCCACCGGGACCTTCGGCGGAGCTCCTATGGGGCCACGAAACGTGTGAGGGGTGTGCCGAAATGAATGGCGGGGACGCATGCGGACTGTGCCACGGGGGCCTTCGGCGGAGCTCCTATGGGGCCACGAAACGTGTGAGTGGTGTGCCGAAATGAGCGGCGGGGACGCATGCGGACTGTGCCACGGGGACCTTCGGCGGAGCTCCTGTGGGGCCACGAAACGTGTGATGGGGTGTGCCGACATGAGTGGCGGGGACGCATGCGGATTGTTCCATCGGAACCTTCGGCGGAGCCCCTATGGGGCCACGAAACGTGTGAGGGGTGGGCCGAAATGAATGGCGGGGGCGCATGCGGACTGTGCCACTGGGACCTTCGGCAGAGCTCCTATGGGGCCACGAAACGTGTGAGGGGTGTGCCGAAATTACACACCCGCAGAGACCTTCGGTGGAGCTCCCTATGGGGCCACGAAGTGGGGCCACGAAACGTGTGAAGGGTGTACCGAAATGGGTGTGCGGGACACATGCGGGCACACCCACTTGGACCTTCGGTGGAGTCCCTATGGGGCCACGGAACGTGTGAGGGGTGGGCCGGAATGGGTGTGCGGGACCCCTGCGGGCACACCCACTGAGACCTTCGGTGGAGCTCCCTATTGGGCCACGAAGCGTGTGAGGGGTGTGCCGGAGTGGGTGTGCGTGACGCATGCGGGCACACCCACTGGGACCTTCGGTGGAGCTCCCTATGTGGGGCCACGAAGCGTGTGAGGGGTGTGCCGAAATGGGTGTGCGGGACGCATGCGGGCACGCCCACTGGGACCTTCGGTGGAGCTCCGTATTGGGCCACGAATCGTGTGAGGGGTGTGCCGAAATGGGTGTGCGGGACGCATGCGGGCA